TGCTGGAGCTGATTCAAGTCTGTCAGCCTTGCAAGATGGTGTGAGAAGTAGGCCCTTCTCACACTACTTTATTGTAAGATTATATTAACAGGCTCTTTCAAGTTGAAAGTAAGCTCTCTTCTGTTACCTTTACAGTCCAAGAGGGACTTATCTGAGTTCTTTGCCATGCCCTCATTCCTTCTTCAGGCTAAGCTGCCTCTTATCTGAGTGTTGCTGTATCCAAGGTCATTCCCACATACCATTACAAAATCACTGTTCTGGGAGGAGAGACAAATAACTCTAAGCCAAGGGTAGGCAACCTTGGCTCTTTTATGACTCGTGGACTTCAACTCCCAGAATTCCTGAGCCAGCCATGCTGGCTCAGGAATTCTGGGAGTTGAAGTCCACGAGTCATAAAAGAGCCAAGGTTGCCTACCCCTGCGCTAAGCCGTTAGAATTTGAGTTATTCTCCTGTGAGGCTGACAAACTCAGAAACAAGAACCATATGCATTTCTGGAAATATTACTAATAGGACAATGCACCTTTTCTCTGCCAGGAAAAAAAAAATCTCTTATATCCAACATAATTGAAATGGAATTACTCTGAATCTCTTTCTTATGCTTCCACCTTCACCGGGGCTCAAGAATCTCTTCTTTTACAGCTTTGTTTTCTCCCTTAACTGACCTGCTGTCTCCTTTGTGTTCCAAAGGTCTGTTAGCACTCCCACCACGCAGCGTCTGGAGTCTGTGGGAGTCTGAGTGGGGGCAAACAAGCCTAGACTCAACCCTAGCAACCCCAAAAGGCCATGGGTTCTGGGTGTACCCATGTCTGTGATCTCTGATCATTATTTCTGGATGGAGCTGCACTACATCGAAAGGAACTGGTATATAGTATGGGGTTTTTCCTAGCTCAGGGGTAGGCAACCTTGGCTCTTTTATGACTCGTGGACTGGCTCAGGAATTCTGGGAGTTGAGGTCCACGAATCATAAAAGAGCCAAGGTTGCCTACCCCTGTGTGGAAGAGCAAGGGGTAACTATGGCTAGGAGGGCCTTTGCACAAATCCATTTTGTACACCAATTAGGTCCATTCCTGGATTGGATGGCCCTACTCATGGTCATCCATGCCTTGGTAACCTTCCATCTGGTATATTGCAGTGTGTTCTACATGGAGCTGCCCATGAAGATCAGTCAGGCTGCAGTTGGTCCAAAATGTGACAATGCAATTAGCTATGTGTTTATATCCATGCCACACCACTACTCTAATCATTGGTTACCAGTGAGCTTCTGGGTGCAATTTATGGTCACAAAGCTTTTCATGGCACAAGTACGGGTTATTTCTTTGATTACATCTGCCCCTCCTATACAATTCAACAAGGCTAATATGTTTCAGTTCCCAATGACCAAAGCCATTTTATGGGACTCAGATTGTATGACTCCTCTGTTGGTAGCACCTGCCCTACGGAAAATCTTGCACTCCCCCCTGAAGTTTGGTTGACCCCCATCCCTCCTTGAGGATTGATTTTTCCACCAATTGCTAGATCAGAATTTAGATTAGTCTGCTGTAAGTATAAGTTGTCTATCCAATCTTTGGCATAATAGCTTTTGCTGTATTATTATTATTTTGTCATGTTTCTTGTACTGGATGTTTTTAACCTTTGATAGCCATCCTTGTAGCAACACTTTGCAAGTTTCTCTCTCTCTCTCTCTCTCTCTCTCTCTCTCTCTCTCTCTCTCTCTCTCTCTCTCTCTCTCTCTCTCTCTCTCTCTCTCTCTCTCTCCCTCCCTCCCTCCCTCCCTCCCTCCCTCCCTCCCTCTCCCTCCCTCCCTCCCTTATTTGCATTCATTAAAACCAAATTAGAACTACTAATCCACATTTGTAAAGGATTTCCTCAGCACCGATTAAATGATATCCCATATTTTACTTAATTTACTTAATATTGGACTCAATATTCATGGAATATCTCTGCAATATAGTATTGGTTATTTTGAATTAACTGAACATTTAATGTTTCATAATGACAAAAACATATCACATTGTTTTTAAGGACTTGTTTCAATTAAAACAAGAATTAGTCAATGCAAGGACATTTGTGCTTGCTTTAATATACTTAGGAGTACAATTAGAAGATTTATTTACCAGAATTCTCCATCATCTAATGCTGTATGATGTAGCTGCTGTTTCTCTGATGGGCTGAGGGAATCCCACTCAGAGGAGCTTCAAGAGAAAAGAGTAATTATCATCATCATGATCATCATGATCATCATCATCATCCTTAATTGCAAACAGCCAGAAATATATACATATGATCTACAAATATGGATAAAATGTGGGTTACAATTTTTTGTATTTCCATTTTTTTTCTTTTTTGCCTGAAAGGACTTCTGTTGCTCTTAAGACCTTCAGTAGTTTTGAGTGGAGCCTATGTGAATGATATCTTTTGTACTCTAATGGTCTGCTGGAAGGCAAGCATTGATTTTTCCATTCTGTCCCCTGCTTGTTCTATGCAATTGCCCAGGCCATGACTTTGTGCTTGTTTAGATATGACAAGGTTATACCTGGGGGGTCATATGGAGCTATCTTTACTTGCAATTGAAAATGCGCTCATAAATGCAGTCCTTCACACTATTGATTGATTGATTTAATAATTTGACAGAATTCAATACAGCAGGATTTTGAGTGGCCGTGCTCTTCTTTCTTATTAAAAATTATTAAAATAATAGACAAGATAACAAAAGAGCAGGACTATAATAGCGAAAACAAGAACAGAAGGCTACGAGGAACAAAAACATCCATGTACAATCCAGAATGGGGGCTTCCAAACTAGCTCCCTCTAGAAATGCTGGCAGTGGGAATGCACTGGTAATCCGTGATTTAGGATCACAATCGGAATTAGAATTTCTGTTGCTAAGCAAAGTGGTTGTTAAGTAAGTCGTTATCAGGGATGAAACTTTGGCAGCTATGTGCC